TTGATGTCTCCAACAGTGGCTCGGGGTGCACTGAATCTACGAAGAATACGAATATACAATTGTGTGTCAATGGAAGAAGTGATCACAGAAGAGGAACAGCAAGGAGAAGAAATCATGACCTTATTTCCTCTGTTGGAAATGTTGGAGCTTGAAGAACTGCCTAAGCTGAGGCATTTCTTTCTGACAAAGCGTGTTACTGAATTTCCATTTCTCAGAGAAGTGAGAATTCGTGACTGCCCTGAAATGCAGACGTTTGTCCAACATGGAATATCTGTCAGTACACCGAGTCTCGAAAGTGTGAACAATGATGATGAGGTGAAAGTAGTTGATGATCTCAATAAAGCCATGTTCAATTCTAAGGTTTGTCTTGTGCCTCTAGCTGTATAACTAATTATTATATATATATATATATATATGAAGTTAAATGGCAGTTTCTTCAACTGTCGCATTGTTTTGTTTAAGTAGAAAAGGTTAAAGATGAAGAAATCCACAAGTATAGTAACTTGGAGCTCCAAGTGTATTTGCAACAAAATAATAAAGTTTGCTACTTCATCCTTTCAACGCTTGCAGGTTTCTTGTCCGAGCCTGGAATTTCTATGTATCAATAAGGCTAACAGTATAAATTCTCTATACTCTCATCAACATCCTACTGCCTACTTTAGCAAACTTGAAAAATTGGAACTATGGCATTGTGGAAAATTGAGAAACTTGATGTCTCCATCAGTGGCCAGAAGTCTTCTGAATCTCCGAATACTAGCTATATATGATTGTCAATCAATGGAAGAAGTGATCACAAAAGAGGAACAACAAGGAGAACGAATCATGACCTTATTTCCCCGGTTGGAAGACCTGAGTCTAGACAATCTGCCTAAGCTGGGGCATTTCTTTCCGACGGAGCATGCTCTTAAATTTCCATTTCTCAGAGAAGTGTGGATTGATGATTGCCCGAAAATGAAGACGTTTGTCCAACAGGGAATATCTGTGAACACACCGAGTCTCGAAAATGTGAACAATGATGATGAGGTGAAAGTAGTTGACCTCAATAAAGCCATGTTCCATTCTAAGGTTTGTCTTGTGCCTCTAGTTGTATAACTAATTATTATTATTATTATTATTATTATTATTATTATTATTATATATATATATATATATATTTGTGTCATACATTAATACATTATCTCAAAAAATAATGTAGAATTTGATTGGTGAGACGTAGGTCCCTCGTCAGTTTTGTAGTTAACTACTGTTAAGTGTGAACGACTTTGTTTCTTGCAATATTATTGGTGTTCCAAGACCAACTCATCCACCACCACGTGTCAAGTTAAATAGTGTCACATAAAAATAGGACAGATGAAGTAATATTATTAGCCTTTTTTGTATTCAGTATCCGTATTAAAGTCCAACTAATTTGAATTCACACAATATACAGACATTCAAGTTCGTAACATGTGACTAAAAAAGAAGCAATCTCATTTACCGCACCATATAGATAAGTGTGATATTGACCGTTACCTCTAAAAGAAAATGAAGTTTAATGGCAGTTTCTTCAAATGTCTCATTGTTTTGTTTAAGTAGAAAAAGGTTAAAGATGAATAAATCCACAAGTATAGTAATTTAGAGCTCCAAGTGAATTTGCAACAAAATAATAAAGTTTGCTACTTCATCCCTTCAACGTTTGCAGGTTTCTTGTCCGAGCCTGGAATATCTATATATCGAGAAGACTAACAGTATAAGTGCTCTATACTCTCATCAACATCCAACTGCCCACTTTAGCAACCTTGAAACATTGGAACTATGGCATTGTGGAAAATTGAGAAACTTGATGTCTCCATCAGTGGCCAGAAGTCTTCTGAATAACCGAATACTAGCTATATATGATTGTCAATCAATGGAAGAAGTGATCACAAAAGAGGAATAACAAGGAGAAGTAATCATGACCTTATTTCCCCTGTTGGAAGACTTGGGTCTTGAACAGCTACCTAAGCTGGGGCATTTCTTTCTGACGGAGCATGCTCTTAAATTTCCATTTCTCATAAGAGTGTGGATTGATGATTGCCCAGAAATGAAGACGTTTGTCCAACAGGGAATATCTGTGAGTACACCAAGTCTCGAATGCTTGAATGATGATTATGAAGTGAAAGTAGATGATCTCAATAAATGGACAACAGAGGTTCAATTCTAAGGTTTGTCTAGTGCCGCTAGCTGTATAACTAATTAACTCTAGTGCTCTCTTTCCGTCTTAACTTTATAGTAATATTCAGATACTTATTTATGTTTGTCAATTGAAGCAACTTCCTTCTACAATAATTTTAATTAGAAATCTGAAGCATCACTATTCTTTGCTCCCAGGAACAAAAAGCTAGCCAAGGCACAACCAATGGTGACAAATCTGAAGCTATTGTTGGCGACAAATCTGAAGCTTCCGATGACTACGAAAGGGTGAAACGTGATTTTGGGTTGATGGTTGTTGGCATGATAGACATCTAAATAATTGTATATATTAATGTAATTATATAGTGTTATAAATTAGTATTATCATATAGATTTGTTGTAGAATCAGAGAAATAAATATTGTGATAGAATAGGTGATTTGGAGGGATAACAAATCAGGTTTAGAGGGATTGAAAAGCAGATTTATAGAGATAGAATAGTTGATCTTTAGGGATAGGAATGACAGACTTTAGAGATGTGTAATCTTTATACTCTCTATATAATGGAAAGACTCTCTCACTTTGAGAGGCATTCAACAGAAAACTGAGAATGGCAACAATGCCAAACCTACTCATGGCAGAAGCTAGTGATGTCTATGAATCCAAAGCTAGCTAGGAAGGAAATAAGTATTCGATGAAATAGTCCAAGTAAATACGTATTTGATGAAATAGTCCAAGTTAGATCGAACATCACCTGATACTACAGCGTGGTTTGTTAATTTTTGAAAGAAGGGGCAGATCTTGAAGAAGTGACGCGAGCCTACTGCCTAGAGTAGCAGCCTATTGCGTTTTGTCAGGCCGCTTTGATATCTTATTAGTCGAGCTTGAATCTGCATGTGGTTCTAAATTCTTCTTTCATTACATTTAATATCTAACATGTAGCGTATTTTCTCAAGACATCTTGCATTCTATATCGTTTTGAGAGATTTTAATGCACACTTTTTTGAGTGTACGTTCATCCATATTTAATCGAGGTCTATCTATAGCATCAAAAGAAAGCCTATAAATAGTTATCTTACTGCTTGTGATGGGTATGTTATATTGTATTTTGGCTCAATATTGGGTCCAAAAGGTCTTTAATATTGAGACAAAAACATATTAGGTGTAAACAAGATGAATGAACAATGTTTTGGCATGTGAACTGAAGAATAAAAGTGAAGTCTTTGTTTAAAAATTCTTCTTTGATTTTTGTAGTCACCAGTTGCCTACAATTATTATTTTGATTGCTCATTGCTAATGGCATTCTTGTATATTTCAAAGCTCCAAGCATTATCTGCTCAAGACTATTGTGATGTCAGTTAACATCTAACATGCATTTATCCCTTTTTTATAGCCATGGTGCCTATGTCGGCTTGCACGCACGTTAGTTGACTCAACTTGTAACTATATGGGGTAGCATTGACTTGTACTTTCCAGTAAAATACATTGATAATGTAAGAGTTGTTTACATTGCCGGTGTATTCAAGTAAAATTCTTATTTGAAATGTCACTCAGACATGTGAGATTCTATCATTTCCTTCAATTTGTGAGTTCTCTTATACTAAAATTTGTTGGCTTTTGTGTGTTTGATTAATTTGCACAAGAGCATAAACACAAGCGCCAATAGTAGATACTAAACCACCACAAAACAACATAGTTGTTGATCAAAACAAGGATGTTTATGAATCTTTGTCATCTTTGTTTTGGCCTTCACAATCTTTGTCAGTGCACTCTCACTAGGCAAGTTCCTTCTCTTTTCATTTCACTTTCATATTTTGAGCTATAATTTGAAATTCTCTCTTATCAATTAACTGACTCATTCCTTAACTAGTTGTGTCACTGATTCGTTGTATTGTCTACACGTATTTGGTTACAGGTGGTGTAGGCATAGAAGACACGATTATAAGGATCGAGAAAGGGCAGTATATGGGGTTTGATAACATCTGTGCACATAATCCTAAAGTATTGTATAACTAGTGTTGTTATGAACTTCTTGTAACAGATTTTGAATTTATTTGCAAAAGAAGTTGGTTTGTGATGGATTTGATCCTTGATCTCCCAAGGTCTATTTTCGCCTTCACTAATCACTAAGTCACAATGTTTATCCTAAAAATGGTACAATTAAATTTAAATGAGTTCAAGAGCACGTGTCTCAATTAAACTTTAATAGTGTGGTGGGGGGTTAGGCTTGACCCGTACCATGTCTATAACATCCAAAAAGTTATAAAAGCAGAGGGGGACATGGACCTAACCTAACCTAACCTATGATAGAGAACAACGAGGATAATCTAAACAATCTATAGAATGGCTATAATGGCATAGATTTTCATATTATAAGCAAAATACAATGGTTCAACTTTAAAAAATTACATTTGTCGTATCTTTGGAGTATATATTATATAATAAACGGTATATAATTTTGAAGCAAATCAACTAGGTTTTGGAACTATTGTTCCTATACCACATATGACCCAATAATTTGTAGACCATGAAAAAAGATTTATGAGTAAAACATATAATTTTACTTAAAATAATATTTCATTGTTTTACTTTAACATTGAAACTACTGAAGAAGTTCACATTGTAACTACTCATCCTAAGCAATGTGAAATGAAATAAACTATTTTATGAAGCATTTAATGTCAATCTTAATCATGCAACCATCCAATTTGTTATTATTTTATCCTACCTCTCAACAAACCAACTACAGCAAGTAGTAGATTTTCTATATAGATAAAAAGATCAGAACCAAAAGGACAAAATTAAAGAAGGAATTTTTAAGCATAAGATGCCATTATAGTTCAAAAATAGTTAGTTGGTTAAGTGTAATGATCTATCATTTCTTGTTCTCAGCTTGCTTTTTTGGTCAATGATGTTCTAATCTTGATTGCCTCAAAAGGGTGCTGCTGGTTTATAAATATACCAATTGATGGCTGAAATAGGGAAGGCATTGACAGGATATGTAGTTGGAGTGATTGTTCTAGCTTTTGCACTTTTCGCGTCTGCTGAGCGAATTGCAAATGATGCAACAAGTGATGACTTTGAATCAGGACTGTTCAAGCTTCTGCTTCACAAGGCTAAAATGCATTACCAACATTTTTGGCCCGTAAGTACACGTAAACATCAAGATTTTTTGTAAGGATCATTTTGTTTAATTGACAACTTGAAGGTGTAGCCGTTTATGTGATCTTGTGGTAGATGTTATTACTCAAGTGTGATATGTATTTCAGGACTTGGAATTTGGGTGGAGAGTAATTGTTGGTTCTGTCGTTGGATTCTTTGCTGTCATTTTTGGGAGTTTAGGAGATGATAGGGGAGATGGTATCTTTGTTCCCATGCTTATTTTGATCATTGGGTTTGATCCAATAGCATCAACTGCAATTTCAATATGTAAGAATCAAATATTCATAATCATCATGCTTGTCTTGCTTGTATGCTGATTTGTGACTCCCAAGTTTATGCTAGATTATTTCTCGCGCTAATACTTCTTGTTTCACTTCACTGTGTATATTATCGTTGTTGTTATATTCTGTTTTCTTTGTCAGGTATGATAACAGGTGTATCAGTGGCAACTGTGTTGCTAAGCCATCCAATAATTGAACACCCTATCATTGATTCTGATCTAGCCCTTCTTTTAACACCAATGCTGTTGCTAGGGATCAGTATCGGAGTTGTTCTTAACGTTATTTTTGCTGAGTGGATAGTTATAGTTATGTTGATCATTCTTATCATAGGTAACGATGATTCAGCTGTGATTCCTACCCATATTGTCGATATAGCTTTCCTGATTGGTTAAGGGACTTCAGTTCCATCAACTAGGTCATTCTTCAAGGGTGTTGAAGCATGGAAAGAAGAAAACAGAATGGATAAGGTTAATCTCTTTGAACCTTCTTTCTGATTGTAATGTGCATTAGAAATATGTGTTTTTTCTGATAAATTGTTCGCTCGTGTTTCTTTTACGTTCAGATGGCCGCCAAATACTTGGTACCTCCCAGTGAGTATTTGTCACAACCCAAGGTACACCCTAGGCGTAGCATGGTGTAAAGGACCCTGAGAGACCCTACACAAGCCACTTAGCATACATTAAACAAGATAATAGAAATTCGAGAGAATTTAAAAGACAATTCATATCAAATAGTTTCATAAAATGAAGCGGAAGTCTATATAGTCTCAAAGTCATCTAGTACATCAAGAGTGATCGGGACGTAACCCGTACATCACATACAATCCCTGATAAAGAAAAGACATAAAGCAACAAAATGAATGCCGTCCTCAAACCATGAGGACTCACCAAGTCTTCAAATGCTCTAAGTGTAGCTACTAGCCACGAGTGGAGGGAGAAGAGTCACCACGCCCTAGTCCCTACATTTGGGGAAAATGTAGGCAAGAGTATGTGTTAGTACAAATATGTACCAAGTATGATAGCAATGCATAAAAGTTATGTAAATCATGCTAAACAGACATTTTTATGATATGCATAGACCAAGTTAAACATAAGGTAAGAGTATGAAAACATAAAGCATAATCATGGTCAATGCAAATAAACATTGAGATACTTCTTGAAGTAACCTTAGTTCATTATTGTGGGAGATTTACCTTTTTATCGACACAGAGACCATGTGAGCTAAAACATGGAATCCGGTGTCTACCCCACACCGAAAAGAGGTGTTCTTACTTGTCAAGGTAAGAACCATGAACTTCTAGCTTATGTGGATCCACTAGCTAATGTCTATCTAGACAACCTATGGTGGCACATAGTTTATGGGACATTGGTAATCGCCACTTGTCCACTCGGTGCTAAGCATAAATCCCACGGAATCTTGATTAGTCTTATCTTTTCTTAACATTCATGAGGCATTGGTAATTGCCTCTTGTCTTATCATTGGAGGTCATGGGTAATCGCCTCTTGCCTCATTATTAGAATAGCTCCTTAACATTGGTTCATTTTAGGTGAGAAAGTCTTTCAACCTTAAGAACCCTTTATGTGAGAAAATCCTTTCACAATCTTACTTTCATGTGTATGTGAGAAAATCCTTTCACAATCTTACTTTCATGTGTATGTGAGAAATCCTTTCACAACAACAACATGGATGCTTCACTCTCAAAGCAAATCTTAAAACATTTTCATCAATTTCATAAGAACATGCATATTTTCATAATTTCATGTGTTCAAGGATGGGTTCACTGACCGTGGACTCTTCCACCGTCCTTGAACCCTTCCTTCCATTCTTGAACCCTTCCTTACAAGTCCTTTTTTTTTTGAGGTGTTAAGTATTGGAACACAGAACCATATGAGGAAGAAGACGAAAATGAAGGTTTGACAATGTGAACACAGATTGCTTAAATTCTCTACTCTTATCATGTAAGTATCAACAGAGATATTTGACCAGTTAGTAATGTGAAACTGCAACAGATGCTGGTGCTGAAGATATTATGTACAAACTTCTGCCTAGAGGTCCAAGAATTAGAAATGAAGAGGTGATCACTTTCATATTTGTCGCTATCAATTTACTTGACTACCTACATGCTCAATGTCTAATTTTTCATAAACAAACATTACCTCAAGTTATTTTGAACTTGATGTGCCTTTCGCTATACTGGAATGCTGACTTCTTGAGCTTCTCCAGGTTGTGTATACGAAGGATTTCAGCATACTTATTGCTGTGTGGGTCATTTTCCTCGTTCTGCATATTGTTAAGGTTTATTGCTTTAAATTGCTTCTCTGTTTATAATACCTTCACATTTTCAGGACCATCTTCTGCACTATTAACTTTCTGACTAGAAGCTATCATTTTTTGGGTGCAGACATATACATCAACTTGTTCAACGACATATTGGATCTTAAATCTCTTACAGGTACTTATTGTTTGAAATGTAAACTATACTGTCTGTGTGTTTTCTCCAATTTTCACTCACCTGTTCCTGCTTCGGGTTGATATAGGAGGTATTAGCTTCTTCATATTCAAGAATATTTGTTTTCTACTTTTCAGGTCCCTGTTGCTGTAGGAGTTTCTGCATATGAAGCAGTTTGCTTGTATAACGGAACGAGGGTGGTCATGTCAAGTGGAAAAGAAGTAATAACCATGTATATGGGAAACAGGGTGGTCATGTCAAGTGGCAAAGAAGTGATAACCTGGAAAGCGCATCAGTTGATCCTTTACTGTTGCTGTAGTTTTTTGGCAGGTATAGTTGGTGGTCTGCTAGGTCTTCATCGAGGATTCATTTTGGTTCCATTGTTTCTACAACTAGGGATGTTGCCTCAGGTGCATCTTTTGTTTCTCCTGATCACTCTTGTTTTAGAAAGATCAGCTTTTTTGACTTCCAAGTTGCAACTATTGACACATTGCAAATGCAGGTTTCTAGCACCACTGCTAACTTTATGATGATATTCTCCTCTTCCATGTCCGTCATACAGTATTACTTACTAGGACACTTTCCAGTACCATATGGTAAGGACAGATCTACGTTGGTTTTTATTGTTGATAGTTGAGCAATCATATATTCTCTCACTATCTTGCAGCCTTGTATTTCGTAGCTGTGACCACTGTTGCTGCCTTGGTAGGACGCCATGTCGTAGATGAAATAATTCGCACTGTTAATAGAGTATCTGTGATCATCTTTATCTTGGCCTTCACAATCTTTGTTGGCGCAGTCTCATTAGGCAAGTTCCTTCTCTTTTCATTTGTTTGCATATTTTAAGCTATAATTTGAAACTATCGCGCAACAATTAACTGACTGGTTCCTTCACTAGTTGTGGCACTGATTTCATCGTATTGGTTACAGGTGGTGTAGGCATAGCAGACGCGATTAAGAGGATCAAGAAAGGGCAGTATATGGGGTTTGATAACATCTGTGCATATAAGCCTTAAGTTTTGTATAACTGGTGTTTTTCTGGAGTTGTTATAACAGATTTTGATTGTATTTGCAAAAAGAAGTTGGTATGTTATGGATTTGATCCTGTCTTTTGTAACGCATGGCAAAAAATTACGAATTCACGTGCCCCATAAATTCATTTTTCGCCATGGTGTGGTTTGAGGAGAGGTAGAAATAGACCATGTATTGGGAAGAATATGATTAACCAAGACATAACACCACATGTAACTTATAAAGGACATAAATGTAGGAAGATTAGGGTAAAAGGTTTAGTAGATAATCGACAATTAGAGCAAAAGGTTAAAAGGACCTCTTTGGCTGTCAACCCAGAATGATAAACAACGCAAAAGACACACTGCTAGGAATTTAAGACATGCATAAAACTTGCCAAACATAGAACAGGGAGGTTGGAATTACATCCATTATAGCGAGGAGTCTGTCAACATATCACACAAAATTAACGCCAATATGAATTATTGATAGGCAGAGGCACCACAATACATGTCAGTATATATTGGAAAGGAGCAAGTGCCCCATCCTAATTCATTCAGTCAACATAGAAACATCCCAAAAGTTAACAAAAACGTAACACTATTTGAACTTAGAACACCAAACCAAGCCATGGGTAAGGCTTTTTAATACTAGGAGGAAGAATATCACATCCTCACTTCTTTCCGCTCTTTTTCAGGCCAGCACCACCAATGGACCCTTTCTGAGCCTTTGCCTTGAGCTCCTTCAGGGCCTGCAAGGTCACAAAGAGAGGGTTAATTGAGCCATAATGATTAGTCTATCACAAGCTGCAATGACAAGAAGAATGAGTTACCTTTTCTTCTTCCTTCTTCTTTGCAAGAAAAGCCTTGTCATTCTGCAGATGAATCAAACACGTACAAGTTAAAGAGAGCAGCAAGTATCACATGTAAGGCTCATGAGCCAGAGACGGAATTAATCTAGTGGATACCAAATTCTGAGCATGAAGCATAATCCATAACAAAGGTTTCATTATTAGTCACCTGTTCTCCCTTATTCATAACTTAGATACCAATAAATATCCCGACAAACAGAGAATCTCTGAATGTGTGTCCATCTAAAGATATATTCCTCAAAATAGCCGAAGATCTTGCATAACAATCTCTATTAGCTTCACTGATCTAGATATGTCAATGACAGTATATGGGGCAGGGATAGAACTGTGACATATCCACCCTGCTTTGCACCTATCAATTAACTATGACTCAAATCCAAACTAGTTAGGTTGACCTACTTGAGTCCTTATTCTGGTCACCCTTCCCCACACCCACATCAACAAAAAAGAATGGTGCACCCTATCTGTACTGCTTGCAACCCTACTGAAAAACCAACCTAACTCACACAAATTCCCCATAAATGTATAAATGTTTTTTGCCTTCTACGTCAGGCCAATTCTTCTTCCATGAGGGACTTCAATGAAGCCATTTTTTTATTTTCCATTCATTGTATCGACCATTCAGACCCTCTATCTGTCCCTGATGAAAGACAGGATGAAACCTTTTTCCTTTGATGTTCCTTTTCCTCCTTAAATATCTTTTCTATTTTCAAAGATCTTCCAGAACCAAATAATAACTTTTTTTAATGCAGATACAAAATATACCTTTATTATTTGCAAAATAGTTGCTAGAGTCTAATAGCATGTTTTCTTCTGCAGACTGTATCCCTTACCAACCTTCTCCTTGCTATCTATAGGGCTGAGGAATAACTATAACCACAAATTCTAAGACCTATAGCTTGTCTACATCTCTATTAAAATTATCCAGCAGTATCTTAGTGCTCGTTTTTTCATCAAGAGAAAATTATTTCTGATCACTTATCCCAAAACAGAACAGAAAAATTCAGCTGACACACACACACACACACGCTTAGCGCCAATCCCAAATTAATTTAGGTCCAGTACACAAATCCTTTATTCCAATTCAAACAATCCATCACCCATAAATACAGACTATATCTATCCAAACAAAAGACCAAATCACCATTACCCATATTTGAAACAAAAGTGTCTATCAGCAACAACCTATTGACCCCATAAAGATGGGATAAGGTTTGGTTACATCATATCCTACCCTCCCCAAACCCCCACTTGTAAGATTACACCGTTGTTGTCGTTAATATATTAAATAAACAAATTGTAGTTAAAACACAAGATCTACAAAATAACAGAAGAATCTATACAACCAAACATCAGGTAAAATTATCACAAAAAAAGATATTTCATGAATTACCTCATCATACTCCTTCTTTTCACTCTTTGGTGCCTTCAAAGGCTTTGCTTTTCCACCTATTCAACAAAACCAAAATCAATATAGTTCTTATAGCTTTTCTCACACCCTTTTGAAAAAAAATCAACCCCAAATCAATTAGGTCAACTATAAGCACAAAAAAATCAAATCTAACAAATTATATCCATTTGAACATAGCTCGACAATAAAACAACAAAAAAAAATTCAAAAAAATAATAATCAAATCTTTCAAGAACAATACAAGGTTTGTTATACAACGAAAAAAGATCAAATCTGTACCTTGCTTGGAAGACATGGTTGATTTTCTAGGGTTAAGAGTTTGGATCTGTTGATGAAAACTCTCTCCTAACCCAAATAAGCTTTTTTTGTAAAGTGGCGTTGTAATTTTGATGGATTGTGCCAAGATTTATACTAATATTTTTTTTTATTGTATCATTGGAGTAGGAATAAAAGTAGTGGTTTTTTACTATTTTATCCTCTTTATTGAAGTGTGTGAATAAGAGATTTGAGGGGTTTATTAGGTATTTGAATGAAGGAATAAGCCAATTGGGAGGTAGGGCTAGCATATTCCTTGAGCAACTTGCCTTCTTCTGGTTTCGGCACCTCGATTAATTCCACGAAATATTAGTTATCTCTTATTAACACTACGTACTAGGTAACTCTGTTTACCAAAACTAAGACAAATGAAAAGAATGCATACGGTTTTCTCTTCTTTTTTTTCCACTTTAATTACTTATTACTCAACTATAATAATATTTAGGATCAATCTATAATTTACAACAAAAAAAATTAGTCTGAATTTCGGATCATTCTTTGTTATATTGAGCGTTAATTAGAATAATATTTGATTCATTGGCTCGTTTTCAGAAAATTCTTCGATTCTTGTTAAGATTATAGGAATTATTTTAGGCATAGTCTCAATTTATATCATTCAACACTCACTGAATCGTTTAAATTTAAGAGCATGTTTAATGTTGTCGCCATCAAAGAAGGTGTCCAAACCATATATTTGTTGTGATACTAGAAAAAAATCAGCACATTTTTAATTTTCAGTATTAACAAATGAATGAAGTGGGTGTTGGACTTTGATTCACTTCATGAAGTCCTTACTCCTGCACAATATTGTTAATCATAATTCTTAGATTGTCAATCAACACTCTCCAATGTCCATCTTGGCATAACCAAGTTATTATTGGGTCATTAAAATTGGTCTCGTTAATACTTTCATTAGTGATTACTGAATAATTATTATTGGACTTGATCCACTTACGAAAAAGTGATCGTACTGCGGAATTTTGTTTGAGCTTTTATCATCTACTATTTTAGTATAAAGTATAACAGATTTGTTGTTCGAAAGAATAGTGATTGCTATGGATTAAGTATCATATTTGTCAAGCATTTTTTATGGATATATTATGGACTTTAAGTTGATTCAATTAATCATGTTCGTGAATTTTGAATGAGCCCAAAAAATATTACCTCATACTTCTTCTTTTGAATTGTACTAATAAAATAAATTATAGATTTTGTTATAATACATTGAACCTATTAAAATATTAAAAACAACGACCAAATTAATTAATATACATGAATTAATATTTTAGCTAAAATTTAATAAAAATTTATTAAATACAAAATTTTGATCTCACCAATGAAATCCAACGTTTATTGTTTGGATTACCCAATCAAGACCACCACATAAAAAGAAATAAATAAGCAAATATATATTTGAGAAGAGGTAAATATATATATATATATATATATATATATATATATGCACCAATTATATCAAATAATACTAATTTTTATCATAATTAAAAGAGAAAATATTTAATTATTATTTATGATAATCTTGCTTGTTACAACACATCTCCTCATATATTTATTGGTGCAACCATAAACAAGAATCATATGCAATTAAAAACATTTATTATATCACCGCTATATGTATCTTATCTATCTATAATATCTTAAAAGCATGAACTCCCTAAGTTGAATGTTAAATTACTATAATATTCCCAACTTAAAACACTCAATTTAGTATATAGATTCTATATTTAATATTATATTTATTTACGTTATAGTAAATTAAAAGCAGACGCCTTTTCACATTGATGAGTAGTGATTTTTTCTAAGGATTGTGACTTTTTTATAGAGTTATGACTTTTTCGATGAGTTATGACATTTTCAAAAAGTTGTGATTTTTCTGAAGAATTGTGACTTATCTGAAAAGATTGTGTAGTCATTTTTAGTAAATAACACATTTATAGCTATTGAACTTCAATAACCCTATAAATATAGTCATATTTGTAAGTTGCTCTATCTGAAAAGACACGATAAGCACATTTTCATATCATTCTTTGTTGTCTATAAATAGAGGGGGTCTCTCACACTTTTAAACTACGAATTTTGTAAGTTTTCTATTCTTCTTCTTAAAACAAGGAAGATTGTGAGAGTTGTTCAATTATGCAATTACAATATTTTTTTTGTGGGTAAATTAGATAGACCAACAAAAATTGATGCAACAAGAAGAATGAAACAACTCAACTTCAAATGAGAAGAGTATCTTGATAATTAATATGTACTCATTTTCATAGCCATAAACTATACTTTTGCAACAACTTTTACATGACAAGAAGTTCAATGATTTTATGTTGCACAAATTACAACTTGGTGTTCAGATTCTAAAAAGTCTCAAATTGTTGGAGAATAAGTATTTGATC